TTTTGAACTAACGTTCTTATAAAGTTCCACTATACCTTTCCTTTCTCTCTCGTAATGGCACCGGGACTTTGTTTATAATTTATTAACCAATATTTAATCATTTTTGGCTCCTTATAATTCATTACAAGAAGTTCAATTATTCTATGAAAAACTAACGGGAATGAAATGAGCTACATGTGTATACTTATGTGTTGAAATACTTATCCCAAGAACCTTAGCACTCAGTACTTATATATAAGTACTAATATACTTATATATTATTATATAATACATTGATTTTCTTATTTCCAGTTTCACTTAAATATCAAGCTTGTAAAATACAATTGGAAATAAGAAAATCAAAAATTTTGGTACTAACGTGCTGGAAATTATAAAATGACGACACTTTACTTGATTAATACATAATTTACTTTATTAAACAAAACCTACAGCAAACTAAATTTTAAGCGCTTCGTTCCAAATAAACAAAATTCAAATATTTATTTAATTTAGCACTATATTTGGGTATATGCTTAGCACACATATTATACACACACTAAAACGCTATGTTTATGACACTTGAGTAAATAATTGACAACTGTTGATGAATTTTATGCCGAATTCGAATATTTCTTTCATATTATTGTAATTCTGTTGAAAAATAAATTATATTTTTCGTAATCAGATTATGAAAAATACAGATTCTGTTTCTAAAAGACAGAGAAATATTAGAATTTTTTTCTAATTTTGCAAGTTGGTATAATTTGAATATATTGTATTATAAAATTGATAAACTTGTCATTATAGTGTCAAACAGTAGATAAGTACTTTGGATCTCAATATTTAAAATAACTTACATTGAAATTTATTATAAATGAAATTCTCTAACAAAAGTTCAAATTTCACTAGCTTATAACAATAATTGCAAAATATAACTGTACTTAGTTATGTGCCTAATATATATAATTTGTGAAAGAAAAGGGTTATTATGTAAAAAGAAATATTAAAATTTGTTTTTCTGAAATAAATTACTCAACTATAGTTGAGTATAAGTAAAGTAAGTACCTTTAATTGTTGATTTTGAAATTAGGAATTGATTTTAATAATGAGCTAGAAACAAAATTTCAATTTTTTTTTGTTCCCATTGCTATCTCATATTGAAGCAAAAAAGTTGTAAAACTTTTTATCTTGAAATTTTAACTTAAAGTACATAAATTATTACTTATGAAATTTTGAATAATGTTTTCTTTGAACACCAATAATTATCATAAAAAAATATTTTATTTGTTGTTCAAGCTGTCGTAAAGAGATATAACCAGATAGAGATTTGATTTATTTGATAGATGAGGAAGATATTTTGTACCTAAGTATCCAATTTTTAATTGTAAACGAACCATTATGGGTCCAACTGAAATTTACAGATATTATTATATTATTTGTAGTTATGCCATATTATTTGTAGTTATGTATAGGAGCAAAAGTGATAATAATTTACGATAATGGTAATATTACTTATTTCTTTAGCATTTTGCTTTATTGTGCATACTTATAAGTATACATAAGTAAAATAATTATGTTGGTATACATAAACATATAGGTATAGTTATATTATAATATTAAATAAATAAAAAACAATTAAAATGTCATGATTATTGCATAGTCTTACTTAAACTGAAAACACAATTGTTTTTACTTAAGATTTAGTAGTAAATTATATAGGCAGCAGCATGTATGAATTTGATATTTAAATACTTATCAGGATTTATTAACAATGTAATAACAATTGTCTAAATTTTAACACAAATTTTCCATAAAACACAATATTATATTGTAACTATTTATTAAATATACATATACCTAAGTGTGTGTGTACATCAAACTATCGATTTTAATGCAATTTCGAATTTATCTAGAAAATCTACAGCAATTAATAACCATTAATAATAATTTAGTAATTTAGTGTTATGTATGAATAAATAAATAACCTGCACTTACGAAATTACAATAGCTGTTATTACATTGTGTTTTATATGACGTTTAGATATATATATTTCTACATTCTAGGACTACATTCAAGGCCAGATTGTGAAATTAATTAATGAAAATTCTATCATCATTACCATGGAGTAAAGATTTTTCAGTACTTTTCATTAAAATATGATAAATTTGTATAATTCCAATAAAACATTTAACTTTAAGTTATAAGTTTGCTTCAATCTACCACAAAAAGTTTTGACAATGTATTACAATCCAGCCAAAAATTATTCTTGTGACTTACTCATGGATTACTTATCCATACTCATAGATTCTAGATATAATAAAGCAATCGCCTATATTATAAACAAATGCGAGGTTTATGTGAGATGATGGTAACTTACAGTTCACCTTGCACATGCATACATCAATGTTTGAATTTTACAGCTGCTAATTTCTGTGTTACAAATGGAAAAGGAAAATCTAAATCATATTACAATAATTGCAAAAATACTTAATATAAAAAATAGTAGAACAGCTTCCACGATGGATGATTGGCCTATTTTAATTCAAATAACTATTTTCGCCTATATACTTATATATGTATTTTACATATACATTTACTTGTGTTTGTGTATACTTTTCATGCATTTATGTAGTATTGACTTGTAACATGTAAGTATGTAGTCTTATCTAGTCTACAGCTTTTATTCCCATTACTGTTAAATAAACAGATATGTAAGAACATACTTACATACATACATATTTGTTTTTCCCATTTTATTCTTCGTTCAACTTTTATTTTATTTTCACTATATATTCGTAATTACTTACAAACTTAGTTATTTTTTACTCGCATAAGAAAAATTTCTACAAAGTTTAATTACTTATAAAGAAATTATTAAAAAAACAAACTCCGCGCATTCTAATTCTATTTTAATTCATTAAATCTATATACCTAATGTATGTAGATAGTTTTCCAGTTTTCCATATCAACATGTCTATCACATTGTATGTATGGATGCACTAATGCGTGCATATTACATATGAACTTGTGTATGCTAATATTGTGCGTATATAGGTACTACATAATATATAATTAATAAATGGAGGCACATATATCCAAGTATAACATGAATTAATCACAGGTATAGATTTTTATATAGATGTACTAAATTAAATACGGTAAAAGTCGAAAAAATGACCAACGCAATGATGTCACAAAAAACTTTTTATTAAGTAAGTGCTAATTGCATACTTTGTTTAGAAATACATTGAAATTAATTGGTTGAGAAGTAAACTTCAATTTAATATGGGAATTTCCCAAAAATTTCACACTAAAATTCTTTAGACCGCATTTTATTAGACATTAATTTTCTATATTTCATATTAAATATTTGCTGGACCTTTGCATTTAACTAGCTTTCAATTGTTTTCTATTGAATATTAGGTATGGTGTTAATTTTACAGTGTTTTACTGTTGTAAGCACATTTTTAACGAGAATTTATGTATGTCTGTATGTATGCTTAAATTAATGTTCTTCGGCAGGTATAATTTTATATAAAAGTAAAACAAGCAATCAAATAATGAATTTTTCTTTTTTTGTTTTTATTTTCTTCTGTTACAGCTGAATATAATTTCCGAATTGGTTATTTTTCTTTAACCTAGATCTAGCCATAACTTTATTTTCTAATAAAGTTTATAATATATAATACATTCATACAATTTTATGCATACTCGTATGTAATCATATGTATGTATATACAGAGTGTTTAAAATGTTCATGTCATTATTTTAGAATTTTTTGTTTTAATTAATCAAATACTTGGAATAAAATAATTTTTTTTTCTACTTATAAAATTTTCTCTTTCAGTTACTTACTTATGTTTTATTTATTTAACAGCACTCATGTGTATAAAAGTTAAAATATTCCAGATATAACTTTATAGGAATTCTGTAAAATCACAATATTGAACAAAACAAATATTGTACATCCTGTATATATACATACATACATATTTATATGCAAAATACATTTATATGTAGCATGTAGATTTGAATATGGTATACAAAAAAATATTTAATTCAACCGGCAAATATTGACTTTCTATTTTTCTCTTCTTTTTTTTTTAGGTATTTTTTAACGAAATGATGCCAAATTTAATGATTAATTATAGTTTTCGATTTAAAAATTAAAAAAATGTCCATATGCATGTTTATATATAGCCACATACCTACATATGTACGTATTTAGGTGACCACACAGTAAATGTATTAATAATTTTACTTCTATATTTACATGAGTACACATATAACTATCAAAAATTAAGTAAGCAGTTGAAGAACTCCAATTTAATGGTTACGGTCTATAAATTATTAATTGTACATGGTGTTTACATAATTACTTATATATTGTATTTTATATTTCCTACCTACTATGTACATATATGTTTTTGTATGTACATATGTATGTACATCTTAAAACACATCCTTATGACACATTTCTTTTTCAATTTTTTTAATTTTGTAATACCGTTATAAATTTTCTGTTTAGTATTTGTGTTTTATATTGTTATGCATATGTGTGTAATAATTTATATGGGATCTTATAATCTGTTTGTGAGTGAGTAATAATGTTACCCATCGTATTATAGTAAGCTGCTAGCATTATGTATGTATGTATAATAAGTCAATACTATACCTATTTATTCTTGAAACAAAAAAAAAGCGGTTCTTCTTCTTTTGTTATGCTTTGATTTAACCTTAATTTCGAGACATGATTTATTTCAAATATCCAAAAACTAAGAAAAATTTTTATGTTATGGTACCTAAATGGCATATGTATGTATATTATGCATTATATATATGAATGTTGTATATAACCTAAAAATTGAAATATGGCTAATTTTCCATAAAAATAAAAGTAGGTTAATTGATTTTTGTTATTTTCATTAGTTGCAAAGATGTTAAAATCAAATCTTAAGATTAAAAAGCCCAAATACGGACAATGTTACTATTAATCATCCCTTTGTAGAAAATTTCTTACTTGGATAAGCTCTTCCAAAACTGCTGGTAAATTGAATAATGGCTATCAAAGCCCAAAATATATAAAATACTCCATTTGATTTCATTTTGGACATCAATTATTAGGGATTTCTTCTTAGCTATTAAAAACCAAAATAAATTTTTAATTGAATTTTTTTTTTTCAATTTTCACTTAGCAATTTTTCGATTTACATTTAAAATATTTTATTAATTTTCAATTAATTTCTTTTATTAAAGAAAAATCACATTAAATAAATTAAATTTAGGCAAATTTAAATTTTAAATCACTTAATTTATTTTTCGATCTTTTTATATTTTTTTTTTTAATTACATTTAAGTATTTTTAAAAATTGTCATAAAAATACTCATTGTAATTTTTAAATTTTCACTTTTTTATTATAAAAATAAAATCAATTTTAATTAATTAAAATCAAATTCAAATTAATTGCAGGAGAAAAAAATTACCAACGCTTAAACGTAAAATTGTTAAAACCGAAATATTTTTTTTTTCGCGACGTCTATTTTCATAAAAACGTTACAAACATTACGGATGAATTTGTTATTAAAACTGAACAAAATAAACTCATACAAATTTATTCAAAGCTCTTTGAGAAACTGGAGGAAAAAAATTAAGATCTTATTATTAAGCTTTTAGCAGAAAAAATAAGAACAGAAAACAAAATTATTTACTTTGAAAAGCTTTCTTTTATTTTTTTTTTGAAAGCTTTTTGTGTACTTTGAATTTAAATAAGAAAATTAAGTGATCATCACCTCACCGGTTTAAAAAACAACTTTAAAGTTCATATTGTTTTATTTGCAGAAAATTACAGTAGATATTTTATTTTTAAAATTTTTTCTTCAGTAAATTATTGCTCAGTATTGCCAGAATGTTGAGTCAAAAAAATATTTCCTTATAATATTACCTGTTGATGACATTATTCTTCTTCGTAATTTGACTATTAAGAAAATGATTTTCATATAAAATTCAACGTCACTAAAAATTTACCAAATACTTTACTAAATACTAAAAATTTTCCAAATAATTTAATATTGCCATTATAATTTCGGTATCATGAAAGTGCTAGAATAAATAAACGTTCCGCATATCAATTCGCTAACAAAAAAATTAAACACGTGGGAAAAGTAAAAATTATGAAATTTTACTTATATACCCACACTTATTAAAACAAGGCACTTCTTGATATTTTATTACACTAAATTTTATTTATTATTGAACTATGAATTATAAAAAAATAATGGCTACATATTTATAAGAAACGACTGATTTAAGGTATTTGCCAATTTTTTTCACTTTTTGCATTAAATTTTTTACGTAAAATATACAAAAATATTCATATTTTATGATTTAAGTGATAAATATGATTATTCCAGCAGAATTTCATTAAGCATATAATTGTTTTCTAAATAGTCATAAATATCTAATTATACATACATTTACACATTATATTTACATATATAAACCGTATTTACACATATAAACCGTAATAGTTTTCATACTACCTTTTCTAAGGCTTGGTGTCTTACTATGTAATTCGATTTTCGTGAAACGATTTTCGTATTCAGAAAAATGGTAAGGTAGTTTAAGTCAATTTTTACGGTATTACCTTTCCATTTCTGCAAATACGATAATGACATTACGAAAATTTAATTAAATAGTAAGGCCCTTCGGAGATTTTCATCTATACTGTAGTAAATTTATTTATCTATTCATATTAATTATTTTATAGAATTTTTTTCATTAAGATTTCTTCTTTATTTATGGAAATGATCATTAATTCTGATATAATTCAAAACGATTCCATAGTGATATTATTTCCCTCTGGTAACAATATTTTATTTAGACAAAAACCAGACCAGACATTATTTGCAGAAAGTTTAAAATGATAACGATTTGATTTGCATATACGTACATTTTGTATATACATAGATAATGTGCACTTACCTTACCATTATTGTTTGTATTTTTATTTTAGTAAAACAAGAATCGCAGGTTAAAGCTTAAAAGCTTACATTTATCAAGTTCAATGCTTTTTTTTTCCTGATCAAAAATCAAAATAAGTTTTTTTTTCTTTGCTATTTTTATTTTTTTGTAACTTTCATTTTTATCTCAGAGTTTTTCCGGGTGTTATCAGTTAGTAGTACTTTGCACAATATTAATTATTCTTTTTGTGTTATTTTTGGCTCATATGATTTTGTAACTAAGATAAATATTCTTTATAGTATGAGTTCATTTGTACGTGTTATTCGAAGAACAATGTTAATTTTCTGTTTTAATTTTAACCTAAATTCTACGAGCAACTTATAGTGAAATATCTGATAAGTATACAAAAAACTTAACCGTTACATTATGATAAGCTCGAAATTCTATAAAGATCGCATTAATTTTAAAGAAGCATAAGTTATAGAATTAATCCCTTAAGTTTTTGAAAATAATATTTTTTTAATAATAACAAAAAAGTATAACAGCCCACTTTGTAGAAAATACATACGTAAGTTGGATGTAGATTGACTTTAAAACAATGAGAAAATTTGTAGCTAATTAGTTGGATTAAGCGTTCAGTGAAATTAAAAGAGATGTTGTATAGAAAGATAACAATGTATTAAATTTTTTGTAATTTTTTGTTAAATTGTCACTTAAATAATTTGGTTCTTAAAGCAAACAAAAAATAAAGCTTTAGAAAAACTCATGTTTTGAAATCTTTACCTGTTTTATTCAATTGTACAAAAATCGAGTAATATATAGATCTATTTTGGGTAATTTTGCATTTCATTTTTAGCAAGGCTGTTCGTGAAACCAATTTTACCATTTGAAAAGAGGGAATATGCATTTCAAATTGAATTTGAAGTTTTGTCTTGATATAAGTGAATGCCTGTTCATTATCGTATACATTGTCAATATTTCAAAATTAGTACATTTTAGAAAAGCGTAAGAATGGCAAGAATGTGGCATTATACATAAATTAGTGTAATTCATTACTCATTCCTTACAACTTTCGTTATAATTCCATATTTTTATTCATAAATAATTTTCATTAATTTATAAATGTTTGCTTCCCGATATTTTCACGAAGAAGTGTACTTACATGTAGCTTTGTGTTTTTTCAGTCCTACACTTTTAATTGCTAAATAAGTATAGAGTCCAGATAATTTTGCATTTAGATAAACGTTTAGTTAGCTTAACTATTTTGTTTTAATTTTGATAGTAATTTCAATGTGGCATCTCAAAAACCTAAAATAACTTCAATAATGCAACGCCCTCAGCTTGCTTTAATTCAGAAAATATTTAATTACGCGAAAGTTATTAAGTATAATCTATATATGTATATAAGTGTGTGAAAATATGTATAACATAATACATACCTAAAGAAATTAATTCAATTTTATATAAAAGTTTTTTGAACTCTTAGTACCTTGTGTTTTCATTACAAAATTTTATTTGTTGCATAATTTCATTCCGCATAATTTAATGAAGATATTATTAATAAATTCTAAGAAATTTAATTCTGAAAGAATAATTAAAAATTATTCAAAATGGTGTTAAAATTATACGAATTTGCCATAGAATATTATCATAATAATTTTCAATAAAAACAATTAATTATAAATCGTGGTGGTGTTCACGTACGATGCATTTATTTTATAATATATTAGATAAGAGTTTGAGGTTTTGCCTAAAAACAAAAACAATAATATTTCATAAATAACGAATTTCAAATTCATTAATATTAAAATTTTTCTGTGTTTGCACTGTGCTTAAGATTAAAAATTAAATTTTACGTTTTAACTATTAATAATAAACTAGAAAAACATTAATCACATATAGGTTTAGGTAAGTATATAGTTTACTAATTACTGGTTTTCTCAATGAAAAACTTGAATTATTTTGGCTAAATATTGAAATTTATTTGATTATTACTCGTAAGTCGAAGCTAAGAAAATAAACGTTTAATTATAAAAAATAAAATGATAATTTTTTAAGAATATTTTTGTTTAGCAGAATGATTTAAATTTTATTTTTTATAAAACAAATGTGATTTAAATATGACCAGATCTGAGAAGAGAGAAAGAGAATGAATATGTTTTAATTTCATCTCGGTAGAGGTTCTACATGCTCCTGACATCTTACTTCCAAGAAAATTTTTTTACATAATTCTCTTGTAGGAAAAAGTTCGAACTAAAAAACTAAATTAATGATTTTTGGCTCCCTTAGAGACAAGAATATAAAACCAGCCCTTAATAAAAGAGTAGTTACAGTACCAAATATGCATTAAAAATTAACTGATTCATCAATTTGATTCACAATCAGTAAATTCACACAAAATTGACTATTCACGTTTATTGACTTCGAGAGAGGGGAGTGCAAAACATTTGAATAATTTGATAAATTTAATGAAAAATCAAAAGTACTAGAACCATGTAAGAATTATAGGGCTGATATTGAATTATATTGAATTACCCTGTATGTTTCATACAGAGATTAAAAAAGGTAAATACATATATAGAATAAACACCTGCAACAAATGGAAATGAAAATAAAACCTAAAATTAAAATATTAGAATTGTACAAGTTCAATGTTAAAATTAATCCCATACAGAGAGTATACATACATGATACATAATATTAAGTGGCGCTCTAAAATAAGTAATTAACTATTCAATTAAAATTAAAATTTCATAATATTTAAAGTTACAAACTAATAACGTAAAAGTAGTTATGAATTTATCAAGTGCCTCAATATAAAAATCAAAAAATTGAAAAAAAAAAAATGTGCCTATTAGCCCGTCTGTCTGTCTCTTTACATAACCCTACACCTTACATAAAATTTTTTACACCTCTCCTTATCTTTAAATTGTCAACATATTTAACTCTACAAAGGTGGGAAAATATAAGTTGTGAACAAAACAAAATACTGTTATCAATCCTTAAATTTTTCGTAAATTCGGAAAATTTAAGACTTATTTAAGACATCAAGAACGCTTGCTCAAAACTCCTGTTGATGCTTAATTTAATAATGTACATATTAATAAGTCTAATATTATAATTTTCTTTAAAATTATCACTCTAGAGTTTCTCCTAAATTTATGCAAAATTATATTGTACTAACAGATATAACTCAATAGAAAGTAATTCTTTCTATACTTTTACAGCTTTGTAAAATATATAAGATCTAAACTTAAATTTTTATAAGGAAATGTGCTATGTTACAAATTATAAATTTGCTCGCAAAAAATTTTTTCAATTGTTTTTTCTTTTGATATTATGAATATACGTATTGTACGTAAATGTATGTATAAAAGTGCAAATCCCACAATAGCTCGTTTTGTAATACAAGTTATTGAGTATAACTGCAGTATAAAATGAAAACCAGATTATTACGCCAGTTATTTCTGTTTTGTTTTTTAAATTTAAATATTATGTGTAGCTATTTTTAAAATTTAATT